ATCAGACAGTTTGTTATTGGTGAGCTTTTTTTCTACCTCAGCTTTTAAAATGGCAAGTTCGCATTATTTGTACCAAATTCTTCAATTATGATTATAAGTTCTAATCTTTTCATGTTTAATTAATAACAACGAAAATTCTAGTATAATTTATAGTACAACGTTTGTTTTTTGAAGCCAAGTGAAATAAACAATCTACTAAAAATTGGCTACATTTTTGCGGTTTGGACTCTTAGTGCGGCGGCCCTCCTAAAAATAAAGTTTTATTAAGAGTAAAAAAAATTTAATATAAGTAAAATAAATTACTAAATAATGTTTTTTACCGCTTCTTTAAAAAATTAGATTTACACCTTAAATAAACATAAAATACTAAAACATCATATAACTTTTAGCTATTATTTAAAATCTTTTAATAAAAATATAAACCTTTATAATATGCATGACTAACTTATCTTGTAATATCAAATGTTTTAATGCCCATGGGTACTGAAAAATTCATTGAATCTATAAAACATTGCGTTGAAGTAACAATGTATATTTTATTATATTTTCATTTTTATAGTTTTTATACAAATATGAATCAGTATTTAATTATTTTTCCAACGACATATGAAAAGTATACTTAAAAAAAAAGTTTTGACCTTAAAAATTATTACCCCTTTTTAATGCTCCAATTGACTGGGGCTTTTTTTTTGGTGAAGTATCTTATGTTTATGTGTAATTGTGCAAAGTTTTAGTTTTACAGTATTATACTCTAGGTTGGGGTGATTATTTTAGTACATCCAGCAGACTAACTCTGATTTCTTGAAAACAGACAACTTTTGATTTTCTATCAATCTTGTGGCCAACTATCTTAAGCAACCTAACAAAATATGTTGAAACAAATAATATTTTACTTATTGTATGACATAAAGTAAAATTATATATAAAATATGAAAATAGACTAAATTTAAAAATAAAAAATGAACTAATTTTCTTTATATTTTTAAAATACCTCTATAGCCGAACGACTAGTAAATAGAAAAATATATTTTGTATTTGTCATTGCAACTATTATACAAATCAAATTTGTGAAAATAAACGAAATTGGTTAAATTTAGTATTTGAAATTGTCTGATTCTCACAGACAATAGACATTTCTCTAATTCGATTGCGCAGCTATTTTTGCAACATGAAAACGAGGCCAGTAAGGACAAAAATGTAAACAAGTAGCGACAAATTGCTTAAATAAAACTCATTCTTTTTTTTATCTATCTAAAAAATTATGAATAGAATTAATAATGATAAAAGTAACTGCTTTAAAACTGATAAAATTCAAAATTTAATATTGCAAGATATAAATAGTGATTTGGAAATAGAGTTAAAATCGAAGAAAGATGCATCTTTAAAAGAAAATAAGTGCTGGGGAAAATCTCTGGAGTTTCTACCAGTGTTTACCAAACGCGAAATTGATAACCATATGAGCAAATGCGGTAAAATAAAAGGAAAGACTATTAAAAAAACTTTAGAAAGAGGACTAAAATTTAAACAAGAACGTTATATTTCTGTTGACAGTTTATTCACAGCACGAACACTAAAATACTTCATTGTCAAATGTGCATGTCGAGCAAGCATGAAAAAAATGATTAGAAAAATGCAAATTTACATAAATCGCAAAAGTAGTCAAGTTGATAAGGCTTCTTGCAGTTGCCCTGCTGGTTTGAGTGGTTATTGTAATCGCATAATGGCTTTACTGTTGGAGTTAGCAGAATACTCTTTAAATTCCTTTAAAGTTGTTCCTTCTGAAATCGCTTGCACAAGTTCTTTAAGAAAATGGGGAGTGCCTAGTGAGAAAGAGAAAAAAGTATATCCTGTAATGAAAAACGTACTTCATGCTAACTTTACCACAAAAGGAATCAACCCAACAGTATATAAGGCAAGGCGTAATTTTGATTTTATTGGAAACTTAAATGCTATAATGAAGCTGCAAAACAATTTAAAAAAAATTAATTCAAATATTGGCTATGCGCATATTATTCCAGATAAAATTACTATTGATTCAGAAAAGACAAAATTTGGCATGCAGTGTTTAGGATCCCCTCTTTCATACCAACTTTTACCAGTTGAACGAAACTTTATTGTTTTATCTCACTTATGTGAAAATGTTGAAAACAAAGCTATTACGATTTCTACTCTTACTTTACCTGATCCATGGCTTTATTCTTTAAAAGAAATTGAGTTTATGAAAAAAATTGTTGTTTCACAAGACGAAAGTATACTATTACAAAAAAAAACTGTAATATCCACAATGGTTTAATGAGAGAAAATATAGAATAACAGCATCAAATGCGCATAAGATTTATAGTAGGAAAAATAACTTTGAATATTTGGTAAAACAATTTACAGAAGACAACAAAAAATTCACAAATGCCAAAGACATGTTAAATCATGGTAAAATTAATGAAGATGTTGCAAAAGAAATATTTAAAAATGTAATGACTTACAAATTAAACAAAAATATTAAAATGGTTGAAACTGGATTATTAGTTCAACCATGTATCCCTTGGTTTGGTGCAAGTCCAGATGGACTTGTGTTAATCGACTCAAAAGCCTATTTGATGGAAATCAAGTGTCCTTTTACAAAAAGAAATGCAAACCCTAATGATCTTGTTAAGGAGGAAGGGTTTTATATTGGTTTATTACCTAATGGGGAACTATTTCTAAAGAAGAATCACTCATTTGGCTATTACACACAAGTCCAAATAGTAATGGGTTTATCTGGACTAACACAATGTTTGTTTATAGTTTACGTTTATAAAGGAATTATTATTGTAAACGTTAATTTTGATAAATGTTATTTTTTAGATGCTATAGATAAGTTGGGGTATTTTTATAAAAAATATATTTTGTCATGCTATGTATCTCAATAATAAATATTACATTACATATATTTTTACTGTTTTATTAGAGGATCCATAAAATTACACAACAAGCAGCTTACAGTCCAAATTTGATTTATAGATCCATATAAAACTAGGGGTATTTCATTTTGGATTTGCTTATTTTTCTTAATTCTTTGTATAGCACGTTCTACATGAATTCGTAAAGCTGCTAGTGTTTGACTTTCTATAACTTCTTCGTGTAATAATTGATCTCTTCCATTTAAAAAGGCTGGAATATTAAGTGTTACACCAAGAGGCTTAAGTAGATCACTTATTATAAAACCTCTATCAGCCATTACACTATCTTCACTATCCCATAGCTCTCTTTGCAAAAGTCCTGATTGCTTAACTAGTTCAATATCAGAAATAGAGCCAACAAATAGTTCACTAACAAATGTTATTGCACCAGAAGGAGCAATTCCAACTAATCCTTTAAAGGTAACATGATGCTTATAGTGAGAAAACAAACTACTCTGAACTGTAAGGCTAGAAGGTCTTTGACAAAGCAACTCAGTACAGTCAATAATAACTTTTGTTTTAGGATAAGTCTCTTTGAAGCATTTTGGCATGTTAAGTTTTAGTTGATCTAAATTAGGCCAAATTGGTATTGCACCAAGTTTAAGATACATAAAATTTAACTATGTTATAAGATATCTTGACACAGTAGACTTTGGTGTCTTGAATAACCAGGAACTAAAACTTAAAAAAAAAACCAAGCCTAAGCCATGTTAAAAACATAAATAGTTGGTCAATCGATTTCATTTTTGGCCTAGGACCAGGTTTGGATTCGGTGAAGAAGATTTAAACAGTTCCTTAGGTAACTTTTCCTCAGAATGATGCTCAGGATAATAATACTTCATATTTTCACATTCATTTCCAGGATTTAAATATTCAAATAAAATGTCAAATTTTTCTTTTCTCATGCCAGTGAACGAGTTAAAATATTTATCATCTTTTTCAAAACTTTCATAGCAAAAAGTACCATTTTTTAATTCGTCGTTGATTATTTTTAGATTTTCATATTCTTCAAGCAAGCTACAGTAGCTTTCATGAACTACTTCTAATCTTTTTTCTATGATTGTTTTTTCTGATGACAACAGCTTACAGTTTTCACAATTTTCATTATTTGTAAAATCCAGTAATGTATGAATTCCTTTATCGATTTTAGTTGTGAACTCTGGATATTTTGACCTTTTACATGGAGATTTTCTTGGTAATTTTTCTTGTGCTACCTTAAATGAGTATATACTTGGAACTTCATTTCCTGTTTTTAAAGATTTTTTACCGCAACCAGAACTAATTTTTATCTCCTAAGGCCTAAAATGAAACTCACACACTTTAGTATGTTTCCTTATTTCAAAATTATCAGCATCTCCTATACGTCTATATTTAGATAATTCGTTAGACCAAGCTTTGTAAACTTTGGGCTTTTTCTCTTGGTTCGGGAAAGAAAATAGACCAATATTCGTCTTTTCCATATTTTCATTATAAAATGAACTTCCACGCAGTGGTATACAGCAATACATTCCTCTTCCACCTTTTTTCACCTCTTTTGGTCAGTGCTTGAGTTGGAATAAGACATTTTTATTTAGGAGCGAGACTATGAATTTAGTTTGTTTACATTTTTGTCCTTATTGGCCTCTTTTTCAAGCTGAGAAATTTGTTGCGCAATCGAATTAGAGAAATGTCTATTGCTCTTAAAGCATTGTGAAAAAAAGCTGTTGAATAGTTAAACAAAGCCCAACGGGCATTCGAACATTTAATCAACGTTTAGTCAATGTTCGTTCTAAATGTTTAGATTTAATTTAGTTTCGATTTAGAACGTAAGTCAATCGAATGTTTCTTTTAAACCATATCTAAATGGTTCGTTTTAAACTTCGCGACGTTTAACTTTATTTTATGGCGCTTATTTAAAGGAGCATAAATAAATAAGAAATACTGATAAACGAATCAAACTTTTCTTTTATTTAAGCTGCTTTAAAAAAGTACCGTAAAGAAAAGTTAAACGCTGAACGCATTATCTAAATACTCAAAAACAAATCAAACATTAAAGATAATTTTTTATTTATATAAGTCTAAATATATAAATATACAAGTAAAATCATTTTATTTATTATTATATGCATTATCGTATTCGTCATCATGATCGGCTCCATAATGATCATTGTCATCTTTGCTTTGATTAAGCCTCTTTGTCTTAAGATTTAGAAAAAAGGACATAACCTTTCCTATTTCCACCTATACGGAAGGAAGCCATTCTAAGATAAGAACCAATGCACGATACCATATTGCGGATACCGAAGTCATACAATCTTTTCTCTAAAAATAATAAAAATAACTCAATAAAAATAACATCTTCATTCTATTCATATAAATCATTCATTTAACAATCCATTTAACATAAAAAATCCATAGTTATATAGATTATAGAAGATTGTACATTAATACAGTGTACATTGAGTAACTATAGTAACAATTCATAAAGAACATTTCTTTAAAACTCTGTATAATATATAACATTTATTTAATAAAAACCTTATTAAAAAAACTTGTAGTTATTGCAGTTATGGGTTGATAAGTTGCATAACTGCAGGAAAGCTGCAGTGCCCTTCCTAAACATAGTAATACAATATTATATAGTATTCTATTACTTTATAACAATATCTGTACAGCATATATATATATATATATATATATATATATATATATATATATATATATATATATATATATATATATATATATATATATATATATATATATATATATATATATATATATATATAGATAAAGTTTGATAACTCCGATTATCCATTGTCTTGAGGAGAAGTAGGCACACTCAGTATCATGTTTGATTGAAACTTTCTATTTAATTGAAAAGTTGTGGAGATAACGACAGTTTCACTACAATATAAATAAACATGTAAAAATAAAATTGTAATTCCTAAAATTCTTAAAGTTAAAAACTAATCAATAAACATTATAATTAAAATTTATATATCAAAATCATATATGTACTAACATGCAACTCAAGCTAAAAATAAAGTATTACTTGATCAATCCATTAGTTTAGACTTTGATATAGTAGTTATGTGAATAATGGTATTTTAGAATTCAATTTTCGAGCTAACAGAAAAGGAGACTATGCAAGTACTGATGGGTTAGCAACAATGTAAATAACTATATAGATATATTATGTATACAAAATTATTTTAAATAAAAATTTACTAAAGCATTGTAAATTTGATTTTAAAAAGTCTATCCTAAAAGGAATACATTGCTAAATATGTTTATCAGTCATAAAATTAACAGGTTTATCTAAAAGATATAAATTTAGACATCTTACTTTATTGGTCCATTTTACGGTCTATAGTAGTCACACTGGATTTGAATAAAGATACCTTAGAATGCAATTGAATGCTTGAGGCAAAGTGGCTGTGGAAATAGTGATCGTTTAACTAAAATGTAAATCCGAGTGTATATTGTTTGAGATATGTTCATTACAATTATTATTAGTCTTCAAAGATAAAAGTAGGGCAACTTACTTGCATAATCTTAACTTTACGCATGCAAGTATTTCTAGCACTAAGGTCTTTACAAACTTTATTTCATGTTTATTGTAACATCAAATTAGCTAACCTATTAATATTTGTACCTTTTACATTAGCATTAACCTAAAATTCTTCCTTAACTAAAAAATAAGAACTATATTACTTTACCGTAAAAATGATTAATCATTTACTAATTAAAACTTGCTTTTTTTTTTTTTTTTTTACATAAAAATTAGAACAAACTAAATAAAACTATTATTTTTAGATTTATAATATATATATATATATATATATATATATATATATATATATATATATATATATATATATATATATATATATATATATATATATATATATATATATATATATAATATATATATACATATATATATATGTAAAATATTATTTGCTTTAACAAGCGATTTATTCAATTTTTAGTGCAATTTTTCCTTAATTAACCATTTCTACTGTAATTGCATTAAACTAGGAATATTAACTCCAAAGAAATTGAAATAAAAACTAATTTAAATTAGAGTAAAGCACAATTATGGATTAATTATATGATATTATTTTCAGTTTATATATTATTAGTTTCTATATAAACATTAATGAAACCTTTAAAAGATTTGTATAATCAGTACTTTTGCTTTTTTTATTATCTGCTTATTATCAATGCCTTCTTCAGTTTCTGATTTTTAAAACTTTTGCAATCCTCATAACAATCTGTAAAAGGAATAATAAAACATCTTATTTAAAGCAATGACAAATAAATTTAAAAAGTAAATTATTTAATATTTTTTGAATAAAAATTATTATATCACAAACTAAAATAACAATTCAATAAAATATCAAGCTTTTGGTTCTTCCAATCAAACAGCCTGGCGATAAGACATTTTGCTGAAATGTTAACACTAATTTGGTTGAAGGTACATCAACACATAACATTAACTTGTAACTAAACTTGTTAAAAGTGTTTTAAATAAGTTTAGTCGTCTAGTTTTTTAGCTTTTTTTGCTGACTTTAGTTTTCCTAATTCCGAGGGATGATATACATATACATACTATATATTTTGACCTGTAAAATATCAATTTCATTTCATTTCATTTGGTAGGTCTTTCATAACATAATAAAATAAATGAAAAATAATGCAATAAATATTTCAATAGCTTTTAGATAAAGAGCATTAGATAAAAACAGAACAATTTGAACTCTTTTTTAACTAATTTAAACTTTAAAGACTCGAACCAATCATCAATGTACCTTTCAAATATAACAGGAATTACCTTTAATCTTACATTATATTTTAAGCGTTGAATTTTTATAAATAGCTTTTCATAAGCCTGAGCAATTAGATTATGATTTAAAAGGTAAATATCTGACAGATGTTTAGATTTTAGAACCATATTTAAAAGTACAGAGTTTGCAGTTTATCTTGTGATTACTAAAAAAATAACTATAAGTTTTAAAAACACTGCAGTTTTTATTTACACAATGATCTTTACAGAAATAGCCATTAACTTAATTATTATTTTAGGAAAATTTAAAGGAGTAAAAATGTCACAAAAAATCAATTTACCACTTCCATGTGTACTTGGCTGATTCCTGCTGCTTTAATTGTTGTTGCAACTGACTGGACTGTATATAAAGTATTAAGTGAAATTAAACACGCAATACTTAATAAACAATAAAAAAAATATTTGCGCATATTTTAGAAATATAATATTACTTTGTAATATAACTATATCATTGTTCGAACCATGTTAACTTTTCTACAAAAGAGAAAATAAATGATACAATATAATAATAATCTATCATATCAGAGGTAAGTAAATTTATTTTCTTTTTAGTGGCTTTCATATAGGAGTATGAATAATACTTAAACTTTTAAAAATATTTTTTAGTTTACACTACAAGCCTACACTAAAACTGAAGATCCATTATATAAATATTTGAACCTCATAATTTTTGATTGGCACTGACTGCACTAAATATTATAACATTGCTATTTGATCAATATAACATCTATCATAAACAAATTTTTCTACTTTTAGTAAAAGTAGAAAAATTAGGAAGCTAAGAGTCAACTATAGACGTTCTATAGCGTTGTTAAAAACAGAAAAAACAATTAAAGAAATATTAAAAAAAATGCTGAAACTGATACTTTTTTGAAATTACTGCTAATTTTTTGAAACTGCTATTTTAGTAGCAATAACTAAATAAAGAATTATCAAAATAGTAGGGTTGTTCGCCGAAAAACAAAACTTGCGAAAATTTCGCATCTTTATCTACCGTAATAGAATTGTTATTACGGAAGTTGCACATGCGAAAATGCACATTCCGTAACGCGCTATACGAAAATATAAATAAATAAAATTCCGTAATAAAGCATTGCGAAAGAAAACTTGTGAAACAAATCATTTCGTAAGAATACTTACGAAATAGTTCCTTACGGAAAAAGCATTCCGGAATGTGTAGTTACGAAAAAGACGCAAAAGATTTTATATTACGATATACTTAAGATATTAACTGTTAACAGTTTAAATAATAAATAATAAAATTATAAAAAAATGTTGTCAAATGATTCTTCAAATGTTTATACAAATATACCTAATATATATATATATATCTATATATATATATATATATATATATATATATATATATATATATATATATATATATATATATATATATATATATATATATATATATATATATATATATATATATATATATATATATATATATATATATATATATATATACATTAACGGGATTTTACTGTATATATATGTATATATATATATATATATATAATATATATATATATATATATATATTTATATATATATATTCATATATATATACATATATATATATATATATATATATATATATATATATATATATATATATATATATATATATATATATATATATATATATATATATACATTAACGGGATTTTACTGTATATATATATATATATATATATATATATATATATATATATATATATATATATATATATACAGGGGTGGGACCGCAAAATGTGAACGTTTTTGTTTTATTATAACTATTTTCTCGTTAGATGTAGTTGAGTTTATTTGATAAAAAACGAAAGACAAAGTACTAATGAATATGTAAACAAAGTAAAATATAATATGTAAAAAAACAAAAATTGAACATTTAAAATAGTTCATATTTAACAGAAAATTAATTATTACAATCAGAAAAGTGTTCACATTTTGCGGTCCCACCCCTGTATATATATATATATATATATATATATATATATATATATATATATATATATATATATATATATATATATATATATATATATATATATATATATATATATATATATATATATATATATATATATATATATATATATATATATATATATATATATACTTATATATACAGTAAAATCCCGTTAAGTTGGACTCTCAATGAATAAATAAACAGTATGCCTTTCTTTTTAAAAAGTATAAAGAGGATGTGTGATAAACAATTAAATACTTTATTATAAAGAACGAGAGATCTCTCTAAAGGTAAATGATATCAGAAAGAGTAAAAAAAGAAGAAATATATGTGAAACAGCGGGATGTGAACCTGGGTCTACGCGGCCAAATGTCTTAACTGAATGAGCTATACGTTCATTCAACTAAGAGAATAGTAATATTTATTTAATATATAATTTGAAACTATATAAAACAGAATTTACAGAAAGAGATACGTATGCAAATAGGATTCTATATATCAGGAAAATGAATAGTAATGTGAACCTTTACATGCTTATAATTAATATCTGGACTCAAAAACTAGTTACTTTTAATGGAACACAATAGGCTGTAGGAGCCTCAGGGAAATTATATTCAGAAATGGTTATATTAGACACAGAGTTAGCTAGAAATTATTACAAAGTATTTAGGACAGATGTCTAGTACAAAAAGCACAAGATTTAAAGCAAAATGAATTATATTATTTGAAAAAATTGTTTTACGTACATTTCATCATAATTTAAGAAGAACTTAGTAAAGCAAGGGAAACGTGTTGAATTAAGCACAATGAACTCAATCTTAAAAGAATAACTAACAGAAGAGAGGTTGTCACTATTGTGAAGGCGACAAAAGATCTGTAATATAGAACATAGAGGTCAAAAAATGCTATCTTAAGTAAAAAGAGTTTGATGAACAAAAGTTACAATGGCTGCGGGATGCGAACCCGGATCTCTGCGGCGAATTATCACGTATCTAACTGATTGAACTATACAATCTTATACTCAAATTTATATCTTATTAAAATTAAAAAACAAAATTTTCTATGATCTATACTTTGAAAAGCGTATTCAAACAGGACTCTATATACCTTTAAAATCTGCTAGAATTTTAGTAACGTGCACACTTTTAGAAATTATTGAAATAGGTATATTTTATCAGAAATATGCTTAAGCTAAAGCATATTTTTGAGCCTCTTTTTACTATTTGCTTAAGCATATTCGAACCTGTTTCAAAAATTTCATATGCTTTAAAAAAAAAACATGTATATTCCTACCCATCATTCTTATTTTATGAGTTCAAAAAACATCGTTGTATATATTTATTATGGCACGTTTCGTAAGTTTATTTCCGTTAAGAATTCTTTCGTATGTTGTGATCCGAAATACTTTCGTTTCGAAAGAAATTTTATTTTTTGTCAATATTTCTAAAAATAAAACCGCAAAAATTTAATAAGTTATTTTACTGAAAATAAAAATTCATTATAAACATTTTGGGATTTAAAGATGTCAATTTTTACAGTTAAAATCAGTCTGGCAAACAAATTTTCTTTATAGACTTCAAAACGTCGTTTGGCAAAAATGTTTGTTTCGCAAGTGCGACTTCCGAAACCGCTACTTTCGTATGTTGCAAAATAGTTTTGTTTCGTATGTCAACTTGCGAAATGCTAAATTTCGGAAGTGGCTTTTGCGAAATGAACATCGGCAATTTTAAATGTTTTGTAACATTCGGTACGAAAAAATGTAATTCCGTGTTCTCAATCTCCTTACGAAAGAAAGTTGTTTTTCCGGAATTGCACGAAATCCTCCGGTTAACAACCCTACAAAATACATTGTTACTGTACTTAAAAATACTTTTAATCGCTTATACAATATTATCGAAAAACTTACAGGACTTTTTAGCTGCTTCATTAACCGCATCATAATACTAAAATACTAAATAATACTAAAAACAAATTTCTTTTATCTCTTCTAAACTATTTATTACATAATTTAAGATTCATAAGAAATTTTAATTTTTAATCATAATGAAAGATTCAAAATGTCCGACATATTATGTGTGAATTAAGTTAGGGTAAAGTGACCAAATTCCAGCCGCATCTTTACAAAATTGTTTCTACAGACATATTAACAAAGAAGTCTATATGAAAATTATACATTTCTAGAAAGATAAATCTTTCAGCATTTAGGATATAATTACAGCAACTATTATAAATAAAAAATGTTTGATAAAACAACGATTACAAAAAGTATATAAATTTGACCAAAATACAGCCACTATGACCAAATTTCAGCCAGAAGTATGCGGAATGAACCTAATTACAGCCAATATAAATAACAAGCTTTTTATAATACTTTTATGGGTTGGCATTTAAAATATTTTAAAATTAATTGAAACTAAATATTGAACCAATAATTTTTTTGATGTGATCTTAAACATCAGTTAGAAAATGATTGCTTAACTTAATACTAAGCATTCATCAACAAATAAACTTAGTAAGGATGCCTAAATCTAAAAAAAATAAGTTTTCAGGACATGATTTTAAAACTATTCAAAAATGATTTTGAAACTATTTTAAAAGGTTTGCATAGAATATATTATTCTCATTAAAAAAAAAAAGAATTCAGTGAACTCTATAAAAGACTTTTTTAAACACTAAGAACAAAAATTCATAACAACATGATCAAATTACACATTGCTTTTTTATACTTTTATTGGTTCATTTTTATAGCAACGGTTTTTTTCTAGGATTATCTTTTGACAATACCGTTGCTTCCTTTATTTTTTGTAGTCTTTTCAATTTACGCATTTCTTTTTCCTTTTCATTTTGAGCTTGTTTTTGCTTCTGCTTTAACTGTGACTCATATGCTTCCTTAGAAGTAAGCACAAAAAACTTGTTTGCATTCTTAGCTTTTTTGCTTTTTGTAAAATTTGGATAAGAATATGGCAAAATATCATTATCTCCATCTCCTGGATAAGATGAATTTTTAAAGGGGAAATTTGGGGCAAAAGATCTAGTTTTTGCAAAATCAGAAGCTAAAAGAGTTGAAACTGTAAAATTAACTTCATGCTGATCAATAGGCTGTTCAATTTCAGAGTAAGACATAATCCTAAAGCTGTCTTGAAACTTACTAGTAGCTTTATTACTTGCAGCTTTTAGTTCTATAGTTTTCATATTTAGTTCCACTAAATCATCACTCCTATGTTCTACTACGGTTATTGGTTCAGCTAAATAGTCGTGATCATTTGCTACAGCAAGTCTTGGGTTGGTAATTAGATGTTGTTCCAACACAATATCTGGTAAAAGTACTTTTTTGCTGTCTGTTGTTTGCTTAATCTGCTTAACTATTGTTGTATTATCAACTGTTTTAATTTGATCAAAGAGATTACATTAACCTGTCTTCAGAATACACATAGTTTAGCAAGTAAGCTTCAGCTGGAATAATTGAAGGATTATATGGAAAGATTCCACATGATTTAAAGCCAGATTCAATATTAGCTTTTGTCATACTTTTATTCCAGGCTTTGGTTAAAAGTCCTGTAAAATTGGCCTTGTTTATTATAACCCCAGGGTGATTAGACATCATATCCTGGGCTGCTTTATTATATGAAACTTTGAATGGCTTAAATACAGTTCGATCACAAGGTTGAAGCCAATTGCTTGTATGAGCAGGTAATTCAACAATTTCAATTCGGTTTTGTATGGCCATATCTATTAACTCTACGAAATTATGGGAATCGTGGCCATCTAAAATTAAAACTTGTGGACGTTGTGGTCCAATGTTTTTTAAAAATGTAAACTCAAACCATAGTTTTGCAATCCCTTGTTTAGTCCATCCAGATTCATTTGGACTCCAGTTGGTTCCTTCAGGGGCATCTAGAACTTGAAAACTTTGAAGGGATTTTACTGTCTTTCCTTTTGGAATCACATGAGGTGGTAAGGCTCTTCCTGCTGCATTCACACAAACAATTAAAGTAATCATTTCTCGATTTCCACTTGTTCTCATATGTAAATATTTTGTACCTTTTGCAGCAACTATTTTGTATGCCTTAAAGTCTAGCTGCAGTCCTGTCTCATCCATGTTCCATATTACTTCAGGCTGACAGTCTTTAATGAATTCTTTAAGTGCAGTAAAATAATTTGCCACCTTTATCAGATTCATGCATTGATGACGAACTGATGCTGTTGATTCTGGTTGTCGAAGAGTTACTTTTTTGTTATGCCGATTGTTAAGTAGTCGCCACCATTTATTAGATGGTTTGCCATTCTTAAAAGAATATCCATATTTTTTGGCAAGCTTGCCAGCATATACCAAGAATTGTTCTTTTCCAAAACCAATGCCCATCCTAGCTCTGTTATCTGCAAAATCAAGTAACTTTTTTTCAAGATCAAGCGGCATTAAACTTTTTCTTCCTGCTTTTGCACCAATCTCAACTTTTCCATTTATCCTGCTCTGCAAAGTTGCTCGGGGTACTTTAAAAAATTTAGCAGCAGCTCTAACAGACATTTTAGGTGAACTAATAGCACTGTTTATAGCTTCAAGTAACACTTCCTCTTTATATTTCATATATTTACCTCGAGTTGGATGACATTGTTTCTTATTATAAATTTTATTTTTATTATCAGCCATTCTAAAATGAAAACTTTATATTATAAATTATTAAAATTTTCAATTAAAGATTATTTTTTAATATAATTTCATTTATAAGTAATAGTTTACATGAAACAATATAATATCTTTCAATTATTTAGACTTTTGTGTATTTTTAAGCCATCATCCTCAAATTTTAAAAATATTATATAAATATTTAACTAAATAAATGCAAATATTTAAGATTGATAACTTTTAGGACATAAATGTAACATAAAGTACTTATATTAAAAGAATAAAATCTAATAATATAAATATCATACAAGTATGAGTTACTTTTAGACACTCGTGAACCTAATTTCGGCCTTGGCCGGAATAAGGTTTATACCTGGCCGGATTTTGGTCTTTCTACCAGGTGCAATTAATTAAGAAATACAATCTATAGTAATGACTCAACATAATTATAAAGCTAAAATTGTCTTTTTAAGAAATATATTTATAGTTTAAAATAATTAACATTTCGTTAAGTAATAAATATTTAATATTTATAAGTCTCAAACTGGATGCTTACATGATATTTTAAATATAAAGTAGTACTTTTTTGAGATAAATATTTTTTATGATGTTACTTCTATTATAAACAGCCGCCAACTATAACAATGCCTTTTTTTTATTGGCTGAATTCATACCAGTCTCAAAAAAGTAGCATTTACAAACATAAAGCAGAAAACAAGACAGAAATAATAAATTTAAAATGTGGCTGGAATTTGGTCACTGGCTCGAATTTGGTCAGTTTACGCTAGTTCCGTACGGAAATTGTTTGATTTAGGTTTTCAACGAAAATTAAATATTCAGAACACGTTTAGAATAGATTCTTAAACGTTATTACGACTTTAAAATTATTCGACTGTCGATAAAATCGATTAATATGTTTTCTAAAGTTGATTTAGTCGAAATATGGGGGGTGGGGGAGGCGAGAATGAGCAGCCATGGCGCAGAGGTAGCGCACTTGCCTCAGAAAAAACGATCAATGATTCAAACCCCACTCTGGGCAAGTTTTGCGACATTAACTAAATGGTCATCCGCGGTGTTCTGTGATAAGACCGAAATGACTTCTAGGGGCACCTAAATAAAAATAAATAAATGAAAAAAATAAAACATAAAGTTGCCTCACCCCCCTACCTTATGGATTGGTTTGGATCTACGGCCCCCGAGTCAGCTTGAAACGGCCCTATATGAAAGTGTTAATAAAAATAACAAGCGTAGAAAATACAAAACAAAAAACAAAAAAAATCTATAAAATACATAACTGAAAGTTTAAGTACGTATAGTATGCTTCGGATATGCTTTGAATTAGATAAAACTTTAAGATAGTAAACAAAAAGCTAGGTAGCATGTAAAAGTTATTAAAAATTAACTATACATGTTGTTGTAATTAAATGAATAAATAAAATCTAAAAATTAAAAAGATTAAATCAAATAAAAAGGCAAGAATTTTAAGATTATTAAGTCAATTAGTAGAAAATCCATAGTCGAATAAATCGAATATTTAATTTTTTTAAAGTCGATAAATTTCGACTTTCAACTAGTCGATTTTTAGTCAATTTAGTCAAAGTCGAAAACAACACTAAACATAACGTGTTTTTGAAAAAAAAAATTCTTCAGTTGGCCGTAAAACAAGTTTCATCATTTTATAGGATGCTCTAAATTTGCTGATTATCTTTTCCTAATACTTAAATCCACATATTGGTGTAGCAATCAGAAACTATATCTAAATGTATAAAACATTCGTCCTTCAATTAAAATAATTTAAAATATCTTACAAAGAATAACTTTTTTATAAAACAATAGTTGTTTCTTCTGAGTGTTTTGTTTTTTTGCACTCTATTGTAATCTAAAAATAGTTTTGTCATAGTCTTATATGAATTTTTGTCAGTTAAAAAGTCCTATTTTTGAAAAGTCATAAAACGTCATAAAAAACTTTTGTATAATAAGCAGCGGATTGAGGTTTAGCGTTGTAAGGGAGGGGGTGGGGTGGGGGGGTGGGGGCGAGGGAATGAGGATGGGGCAACAAGGGTTGGGGTTTGCCGATTAAACTCCAAAAACCGTCATGTTTTGAGGCACTTGTGATAAATATATTTTATTGATGCTTTTATATACCTTTTATCATAACATTTAAATACGTCTAAGACACTAAACAATTTAAAGTTTTAGTGTAATAAGTTTACTTTAGTTAAAAATTATCGTTAAAAAAACAAAAAAACAATTATTATTATTGCAATGGTTTGGTTATTTAAAAATATATTTATACTATACATATTACTTTATACATTATTATTAGCAAACATTAAGAAAGAAGTTTACTTTCCTACTAGTTTATACAAATTTTTTTCTGCAAGATTTCATATAAAGCAGGTACATAAGGTTTGTTAAACGTCTTAAAGAATATCATATGGATTTGTGACGTCTATAAGACGTTGTAGATACAACTTTTTTTGACTGTGTACATTATAATTATAAGAGATATTTTCTTTAAACAAAACGTCTCTGTTTTGTTTTCTGCCATAAATGCGGGCAAATTTGTAAAACAGGTATATAAACAGTTGTTTGTTGTTACCTAGTTTTTTATTTCCATTTAAATAAACACAGAATTTTGTAACTAAAAATTTATATTTTAGGGGACATCAGTTGACTGGTTTTGGGAATTCCTAGGAAGGGGGAAGCTTGCTTCTCCTCCCGCCACCGCGCCTCATGATTAATGTTGAACTCGTCACTGATAATAAGTTTTCTTAATGTTATTAGCAATGTCTTTAATAAATATGGTTGATGTTTTATTGATTTGTAATAACTAATATCCGAAAACACAATATAACCGTTTGCTAATAACCAAACAGTCCTATCGAGCATTATATAGTTCTGACATGTTAGTTATCTTTCAAACTTCCTAGATATCAGAATGGCTGGATTATCATTTATGGTTACTGAGTGTATTTTACAGTTTCATGAAGATAAAACTATTTGAGAATTTCTTAATAAAAATTGTTAAAAAATACGTCAATCACTTGCAATACCATTTTCAAAGTACTGATGGCACTAAAAAAATTATATCTAGTTAATAAACATCTGAGCATATAAATATTATTGGAAATTGCAGGTGATATTGTTGTATTGATTTTGACGACAATTAATAAAAGCAGGAATATTTACCTTTAAAAATTAAACAAAATAAGCGTCAGTTTTGGACATACTCAGCGTAGTTAACCTCAACTGAGTATGTCCAAAACTGGTGCGTATTTTGTTTAATAAATGACCTTAAGGTCATTTTCAAGTTGCAGTAAGTCAGTTATTAGTTTAAACAAGAGAGATTTTTTCGTAAAATATCTGGTCAGCATGATAAACAATCAGATAGTTTATTTGGAAAAATTTTTGTTTGCGTGAGGTCTTATGGTGGACCGCAAAAAATCTTTGAAAATTTATTTAAAAAAGAAAAAAGTAAAACTCAAAATAAAACTATCTTTTTAAATATAATTTTATACAGAGTAATTGCTACTATTATAACAGTTTGCAGACTTGAATTTCAAGTTATTGAATCCTATTTTATGTTTTTTAGCGAAGACTATTGCTAGGTGGTGGAGTTATTTTAATTCGTCTAGCAGGTAGAAGAAAAAGAGATACAATTGCCAGCAACTCAGTATTTTTTAGTACTCTTACTTACAAGTAGAGAACACCAAAATTTTTAGTGAAAAAAACAACAGGTTTTTAAAAAAATCATTGGGTTTAAACACTTAGTAATAGTTCTAGCTCTTTTAATCTGTAATGATATTTAAAATTTAGACACTTTGTAATTTTATTGAAGACATTTTAATGCAAACAGACTGAGCGAAATCGCATTAAAGTTCAAATTTCGACTTTATAAAAACTATTATTTCTGTATATATATAAAAAAAACTATTTTTTTTTTTTTTAACACAAGCAGAAACAGTTATATTAAACAAGCATGCTTCATTTATTTTATTTCATTTACCGCCTACGTAAAAGATTGTAAAAGTTTAGAATTTTTTAGAAATTTTTGGATGTAGATTTACTTACTCGCCTTAACATCACTGAATACAACAAGTGCTTCTAAAATGCCTTAGAAAATTGTAATCAATTATCAAATTAATCTTTTTTTCTTTTTAATTGAGTTTTTCTCAGTTGTCCTTAATTGAGTTGGACTTTAAAATAGTTTCTTTCATATAGAGTCATCACAAAACAAAGGCAGGATTTAACAAGCTGAAAGCCTTATATTTAAAATAACAAAAACCTAGCCGGAAATCAAAAATTTATTCACGACAAAAATAATAAAGTAAAATTGAGCGCTTTAATTCGACTTAGATTTGTCAAATAATTCCACAGCTGTGGTCAAGGTCAAGGTGACTTTAACTTTGCCAAAAGTTAAAAACTTGTGGTCTTAACCATGTTGGTTATTTCGACATCTTTGAATTTTCTTAAGCAATACTTTTTTTATAGCTTTATTTAAAGAAATGCGAAAAAAACAAACAAACAAAAAAAAACATTTACGTGTTTTGATTTTAGACCCTAGATTCTAAGGTTTCTTCCATTAAGCTAATTGGAGCCTTAACCGAAATTTTCAATTTGGTTTTTATAATAAAAATATTTCAAAAAATATAAACAAAAAAATTATTTATTACTTATCATAATGCATATTAATAAAAATAAAAACATATCTTTGCTTATAAAACCTACAAAAGCAGTTTTTGACCAGTGCTCCGTGAAGGCTAACGGTATTACTACGATTTTCTAGGTTTGACCTTATTTTTCTTATTTCTAACCATACCGAAAAACGAGAATAAAAATTTTAATCGATGGAACTTCCCATCAATTTTTCAACAACAAGTTTTGATCGATTGCCGCGTTTACACCAAACTCTATGTTATTACTAAAGTGAAACTTTTTAAGTAAAAATGTTAAATTTTTTTTTTAGAATAAGAAATGCAGACTCTGTATTAGTATTCACTCATAACAGGAATAGGACTAATGTTGTATAAATCCAAGACTCATTGTTATTCGTCAGTTATGCAAGTAGACTTATATGCGCTAGTTATATTTTATTAAAACCGAGCGAATGAAATGTTTATTACTTGATCTTATTCACTTTGAATCAGTCTATTATAACAAGGAAAAGTAATAACTATTTTTAAGATTTATTCTTTTAATATTTAGGTTTAAAAAATGAAAAATATCTTAACCTGTGGATTCACGTATAATCTTATATCCTTCAGCTAACAATTCTCATCAATGTTGCGTATACTGCAAAATATTATGAAAACGGAATAAAGGTTTAATTTTGGTTTTGCTTATATCCATCATCTCTTTAATATATTTTATATTGTTTGTTATTACTGAAAGATAATATTTAAATTTTTTTTTTGCTCTAATACTATGCACAAAGAACTCTTTTGTGTGTAACTTTTGTCTTATTTTGAATTCTATTTTCAAACTTATTTACCTATTTAGTAATTTGCAACTTTTGACTTGATATATTGATATAATAAAATAGCTGAATTAATTAACTTATATAATTTTTGTATAATCATATATACAATATTATAATATTATAAATAAAATTTTTATTCAATAAGCCTGAACTTAGATACTTTACACAAAATTTTATGATTTTTTAAATGTTTAATTGTAATAATAAAACAGGTAATTATAAAAAATAACATACAAAAATAATTTCTCAAAAGACTTTCTATCTCAAATCATATAATGGACCTATGGGTACCACCTTAAATGAATCAATTTGTTCAAAAATATGGTTGGATCAATATTTTCCAAAATTGGGCTAAGTTTAAGTTTCTGCAGTTTTCAGTAGATTTTGCAAATTATAACTTTGTAACTAAAAAAAGGCAATCTGAAATTTTGTATAGTAAGAGTTTTTTACCAAAATAATCCATTTTTGCAGTTAATGCCTAATTTTGAATAAGTCTTGAGTTGTTTTACCTCTAAGTTGCTAAATAATTAAAATGAAAAAGATAAAAGAAATCAGTAAGAAATTGAATTAAAAAATCAGATGTTTCCTTTATCTGTTATCCAGTATCCACTGAGATGTCTACTATAGCGTATTTAGATAGCAAATTGTTACTAGTTTTTTCTTACCTTTATAGCACATCATTTTTTTAGAAAAAGAAAAAATAATAATAATAAAAGAAAAGTTTGAGAGAGCTCTCTGTTTTTAAAGAACAGAGCAATAATGAACTTACTGATGGTGAAACAAGTTGCCAAAGATAAAACTAGATTAGTGTTTTTACTAATTTATATATACACAAACATATATATATATATATATATATATATATATATATATATATATATATATATATATATATATATATATATATATATATATATATGTATATATATATATATATGTATATATATATATATATATATATATATATATATATATATATATATATATATATATATATATATATATATATATATATATATATATATATATATATATATATATATATATATATATATATATATATATATATATATATATATATATATATATATATATATATATATATATATATATATATATATATATATATTAGGGCTGTTCATGTGAACACAGGAAAAAAAATTTTTTCTCGGATTTGAATGCATAGTTGTTTATTTTGTGCCATTTGACATAGTAATTGACTGTGTAAAAAATCTTTCCAATCAGATAATGTTTAGGGGGTGCTCAATGACCATAAAGTTTTACGAAAAACGTCAAAAACGTGGAAAAAGTTCCAAAGTTCCAAAAATTTCTAGAACCTGGTTAGTTAGATTTTTTCCACTGAAATATTGTCTGATTGCGTGCTATATAGATTAATTAAAGTGCAGCAGATTAACTGTCATCAGGGCACCAGACTAAAAAATGTCTGCTAGTGTTTAAAACAACTGTGTTTATATCATTTTGTTAAAATTTGTATTCATAATTTTAATACTATTATTTAACTCAATTTAGAATTTGTTCAAACAGAATAAAAAGGTTTACAAGTATAAATATTATTTTTATTTGGAATTTCAGTTTGACAACAAATGTATTAATATTTTGATAGTACCTAACCTTAGTAACCTATTACAGAAAACTAGCATGGTAGTCTGGTAGTGTATTGTTTGTTATTAAGTGCAGATAATAATAATTTCTAATTTGAAAATATTTATTTAATTTCTTTAGTAATAATTATTATTATATATTGCTGCAGCTGCATAAACCAACAACTGAATGATAAGTTTGTATAATATGGTATTGAGTTTTGATTTTCTCATAATTTTTCAGTTATCATTGAAATGGCAGCATCATCTCGTGTTGCTATCTCTACACGACTTCAAACCGAAATCTTTTTAATTGGACAACCAGAGTCAAATCTTCCAGATAAAGTTCTTCCCTTAACATCTGATGTTTTAAAAACATTTTTTTATCATCTTAATTCAACCAAAAAGTCAGTGCCTGAAAGTCTTAAAACAACTGTTAATGAGCTGATTATTATTTGGAATAAAGCCCGTATTCCGACAGCATTTCATCCGAATGTAGTCTTAAAGTTGAAAACTTTAGTCCAGGAATTTAAATTAATAAAAATAAATAAATCCAGATTGTCAGATTCTCAGAAATCAAGAGAGAAATCATTTACAGACACCATTGGCCTACTTTTTGACATTGCCCACAAGGATGCTGAAACCATGATCAGAATTGAAGAAGATAAAGAATTTTTATTGGATCAGAGATGTCAGAGAAAAATGGTGATGTTTGGAGAGGACAAAGAACTTTCAAAATTAGAAGCAAGAAATGAAGCAAGGAAACAAGCAGAGAGAGAACGAAAGCTAAAAGAAGAGCAAAGACAATCTGGTGCGAGTGCAATAGTTCCTGTTGTTGAACTTTACATGACGAAAGTTATAGTGATGACAACGATAACGATGCTGTTGATAATGACAAAATGGTTGATAGAGATTTTGAGATAGAAATCCCTGTTTATTACAGACAACAAGTCAGTAAAGCAAGTTCTTCAAGGTCAGCTGAATCAAGTTTAGCAAGTACTCCAAAACGTATGTTTTGGAGTACTTGCTAAACAATGTATCTTAGATACAATTCTTGACTCGCCTGATGTTTCATCAACATTAGACAGAATTAATCTATCTGACACAAAATTTACTATACTAGCAATTGCAAGGGCTGGTGGACAGAACCTCGATGATGGATCATTGTCACATTCTACAGTCCGTAGAAAACGAACCTATCATCGATCAAACATTGAAATAATAGAGAAGCGAAAAATGATTTCCAACATGAAATTTCACGGTGAGAACTGGTCTGAAAGGTTGATCAAATTAAAGAACATTGAAAGTCTAGAGAAGAAATCTCTGGACATGCTGGTGACATCAGTTTCAGCAAGTGCGTTGCGGTCAATGAAGGTTGATATTGATTTTCTGTTCAACAACGATCCAGCTACCTGGAATGATTCCCCAGAATACCAAGAAGGAAAAAATTTAGTATATTCATTGAAAGTAGTAAATGATGCTGCCGAACGATCTGTGGCTTTAATGTCGATGTTTAATGAATCGATTACAAGGAATGAATCTGAAATGCAGAGGTTAATTCAGGTGGTTGAGGATCACAGAAAGCGAGTGCCAGATGCCAGAAAGTGTACTCTGAAGAGTTATAGTCCTCGCTAGCATTAACATTGCACGAACTATAACATTACGATAATTAAATGATAATTGCTCATATGTTTTTGAGTTGACCTACTTAGTAGTTGATAACGGTTTGAGAAACTGTTACTCCTTTACAATAATTTTTTTTGTTTATAATTCGTATTTTAATCAATGACAAAGAGTCAAAAATCTTAGTGTTTTATTTTGGAAAAATTCTGATATAACAAAAACCGCAGAACTTTAGTCGTATTGCAGTATTTTATTTCATTAATTTCTCTGCTAATAAACCAGTATAAAGTGGATGTGGATTGTAATTTGTATTCAGAATTTAATATTTAGAGATAATTAAAACTGATCAAATCTGAAAAATCTAATTAACCGGGTTTTAGAAATTTGTGGAACTTTGTTACTTTTTCCATGTTTTTCACATTTTTCGTAAAACTTTATGGTCATTGAGCACCCCCTAAACATTATCTGATCGGAAAGATTTTTTGCACAGTTAATTAATATGTCAAATGGCACAAAATAAACAACTATGCAATCAAATCTGAAAAAAAAAATTTTTTTTGGACAGCCCTAATATATATATATATATATGTATATATATATATATATATATATATATATATATATATATATATATATATATATATATATATATATATATATATATATATATATATATATATATATATATATATATATATATATACACATTAGGTTTTTTTTTCAATTGTTATTGCGCACCCTTTTATATGGTTAGGTTTAATAAAAAAAGTATACAATTAAATTTTTTTTGCAAACGGATGATTGGAACTAGTAAGCCACCGAGTTGATATTTGACCGGGGCTGGATTTGGTAAAGTATAGCCGGGGCCAGGTAGTAAGCGACCGGGGTTGGTATTTGGCCGGGGCTGGGTTTGATAAAACAAAGCCGGGGCTGGGGCCGGGGCTATGTTTTATATTAAGATGATGATGAGGATGATGATGATGATGATGATGATGATGATGACAATGATCATCATCATCATCATCTTAATCATTGGCATCATTATCATCTTCTCTGATACACACTATAAATATAATTACTACTCTCATACTATCTCTAAGATCATTGCTTTTTTTCCTATCTTTTAAAGACACCATATATCCATCTGATCTACTTTGTTCTTTCCGGATGAAAGAACAAACAAGCCAGCAACCTGGATATTCTAGAAAAGTCAGTATCCATCATGTAATAAATTGATTATTTGGAATTTTTAAACAAAGTTAATAATTTGAAGAAATGTTTTAAAATTGCTAACAATCAGGGTGTTTAAAATATCCTAAAATAAGTTTCATAAGATAAATTTATTGTAAAATTGTATTTACATTTAAAATGTAAGTAACATTTTAATTGTAATTTTAATCATTAGAATTACATAGTTGAGCTATTCAAGTATTTAAATGTAAAGAAATTGATAAATACTAGAAAATAGTTGAATTTATTTTTGTTAGCCCCGGCTAGTTACCCCTGCAAATTGTATTTGTTTATCAGGGGCCGGGTTTGCAAAAACCTCTGTTTTTAGCCGGGGCTGGGGACCCGCTCACTTACTAAGGCCAGGTTTGTGACCGGGTCTGCATAAACATTTTTACATCCTAAAGTACTTTTTTTTTTCAAAATTCATATTATACTTTGTGTATTATATATAAACTCATTATAATCAACATCATTATAATCAACATCATTATAATCAACATCATATATAAACATCATTATGATCTACATGATTGTAATCATCATCATCATCATCATCATCATCATCATCATCATCATCATCATCATCATCATCATCATCATCATCATCACCATCATCATCATCTTCATCATCATCGTCACCATTGGGCTTTAGCCTTACTCTTTTATGCTGTTTCTCTAATCATAGTCGTGCTCAAATGGACTATCATCTCTATCACATTAAAGCAAAACTTATTTTTGCTTGGCTTCTTATTCAAAAATTATAATATATAAAGAATTATAAATTTTTTTCCAGTCCCGGCTATCAAGCCTTAAATCTTATAATTTTGCAGGGGCCGAATTTGCAAGAAGTTTAAACGGGGCCCCGATAACTTACTAATGGGAAATGGTCTTTTGAACCTGCTTTGTAAACCCTTTACACGGATCTGTTTTTTAAGCCCATTTGAGACATTTGATTTCTGAAAAATGCCATTTTTTGTTTAAAATGGCATTTTTCAGAAAAGTATTAAAACTAACTGTTGTCAGTGTTACATGTGTCAGTTTACAAAAAAATATTAGTTTATTTGTATCAATATTAATTGCAACTAGGGTTGGTGCGGGCATCATTATTGTTTGTAGTGGTATTGTTTTTGCTCATGCTGCTGGTGAATACTCTTTAATTTAGCTATTACATGGGGCTTTGCTATGATAGGAATACACTTTTTGACATAGTCCAGAACTTCATCCACAACTGTGTTGCAGAATATTTAAATTTTTTAAGTTTTGAATATAATTTAAAATAAAAATTAACATAAAAAGCTTGATATATTGAACACCACTAGTTGGCAACTGACTTGGTCTATCTATTGTTGAGAAAATATGTCCAACAAGCCAAAAACTTGTAGTTAAGCATGTTGTTTTACCAGCATATGATAAGTTTGAAAAAGCCATCTAAGTTAAATTTTTATACTTTTTACTATAATGAATATAAATTTGATAAATATAAAGTGCTCAAAGCCAATAAAATGATTATAAAATGAAGAAATAAAAATCTCAGATAATTAAAAACCTACCCCACATCTTATAAACAACCATGCCATCACTATTATTTAATTTGTTTAAAATTATAGTCTGAGCTATAATTTTATTAGAAAAGTTCACAACAAATTACTGCAAGTAAAATGTACATTTAGAAAAGATTTTGGTAAACAATAGGGAGGGGTTAATTTAAATTTGCCTACACTTTCTCTCCTCTTTGAACTATCTATATTGTAAATTTACAAAACTTTATATTATTTGTTTTTTAATGTTAAACAATTTGTAGCAGCATTTTGTATGAAATAAACACAGAATTTCAAGATTTGGTTTTTAGACAAAATTTGGTCAATTTAGGGTTTGTAAATAGGGTTTGAGGGACCACTTCCCTTTATCAGTTTGTAAAAAAAATTTACCTATATACTTTTTTTTTTTATCAAACCTCACCAAATAAGAGGTTGTACGATTTAAAGTTGAAAAATAACAATTCCCAATATAAAAAAAACACCCTAATAAATATATATATATATATATATATATAAGTATACATATATATATTAGGAATAAACCAATAGTCAAGGAGAGAGACTTAAAATTGAGGAGACCAAACAATTTAGGTGATCTGTTCTAGCATCTGTTCTGATACAACAAATTTTGTCAGATATTTTGAAGGTTTCTATCCTGGAAATTATGTTTGAAAATTTTCATCAAAAGACTTTACAGTGGTCAATGATGAAATGGAGGGAACATAAAGTTAATCCAAATAACTTAAGCTCCATTCATTTTCTATGAGAAGTTGTTAAGTTTAATACAGCTATATATACTTATACATAAATAAAAATCTATATATTATTAATGAACTTATAGTGTCAGTAGTAGTGTTAGTGCTCATTCGAGTGTGTTTGACATGGAACCCTTGGCAGCCATTGCAACCAAGGTAGTGTTGAGAAAGAGTTGCAGCACTTGATTTTATAAGAAAATATGAATAAACGTGTATGCAAATATCTAACAAACATAAACTTCAAATTATGTAATGTTAAAACTAGTGTTGCAAAAAACGCGTTTTTTTTTGCTGTCACGTTTTTTTCACCCAAAAAAATGTTTTTTTTTGGTTTTTTGGCGTTTTTTGGTTTTTTTGGCGTTTTTTTGGTTTGGGTGTAGGTTTTTTTGGATTTTTTTTAAACACTTATGGTATATTTGTTTACTAATTTTGTGTAAACAGAGTGTTTAGCCAAAGTGGTATAAAAATATTTGTCTTTTTGATTAGGAAAATGGCTAAACAGTTATATATATATATTTTTTTAATTTCAAAATTTTTGCCTCTAAAAAATTATTTATTTTCATTATATTAAACACGAAAATGATTACCTTTTTTTATTTTGCAAAGCAGTGTTTTATATAATAAATATATTTCTTTCATATAATAAAAATATTTATTTAGATAATTCTGATTCATTCCATTAAATAATACATTTATTATTATTCAAAAAAAAATTATGGATTAATGAAAAATTTAATGAACATAAGTTGAAAAAGTTGAAAAATAATTTTAAAACCAGTGACAGATCCAGGGGAAATGAGAGGTATGAACCTACCACCCCGCACCAGAATCCATAAATTTATAAAATATCTTTAAACTTTTTAAATTTTTTTTAGTAGGCAAAAATGTGATACAAAATAAACTAAATTTTTAACAAGCCCCGATTCCCTCTCACACCCACACCAAAAATTCCCGGATCTGACTTATTTTGCGATGCAGTGTTACTTCATTCATAATAAATTCTTAAAACAGTTCAATATTAAAAAAGCTACAATTCATGGCCTTTACTTATAAAAATTTACTTCTTTGTCTTTACTTATAAGAATTATTATTAAAAATTATTTAAAAAGAAAAAAAATTGTTTTTCTAATTAATACTGCTTTTTCAATTTTTTTTTTTTTTGAATAATTGAACAATTGCTAAACTAAGACATTACTAAAAATATGGTAAATGGAAGTATTAAAACAATTATTTAATAAATATCACCAAAAATAAATTTAAAACCATTTCAGTGTTTAAAATGCAAAAAGAGTAGTTTTTAAGGCAAAAACGCAAAAAAACCAAAAAACGAAGTCCTCGGTTTTTTTTGCCAAAAAAACGTTTTTTTTTGGCAAAAAAACAAGAACCAAAAAAACGACTTACATCACTAGTTAAAACATTCTGAAACATTTATCAAGTTTTACAGTTTGATTTTTACTTGAAAATCAAACTGTAAAATTGCGTCAAGGTCTCCTTAATTTTGATCTATAGCATTTATTTCTGTTAAAAAAATCATTATATGGTTTTTAAAATTTTAGGTTTTCAATGTGCCAGCATGGCCGAGTGGGTAGCGCGCCAAGCTTCTGAACAAAAAAACCATGGTTCGAGTCCTACAACTGTTGACTTTTTTTTTTTTTTTTTTTTCGATTATTTTGAAATAATCAAAATCTATAAAACTTCAAAATACTTTTGAAGTTTTTTAGAGATTATATACAAACATATGTTATGATATTATACGCTTTAACAAACCAAAAGATTTTTAAAAAAGCTAAAATTTCTAAAAACATCAAAACACTGGGAGAAAAAATGTGTTGAATGTGTCATGATTGAGATACTTATGTTATTAATGTGCTCAGGAAATTAGTCCTAATAAACTGCAGATGGTCCGAAAAAAAAATTGTCTTGAAACTTAAACAAAAAACTTAATAAGGCAGTCCTGCTACTCCAGAAGGTGCTGCTGTGGAGGCAAAAAAAAAAAAGCTTGTAGCTAGAAAAAAACTTTAAAACTTTCATTTGACAATTAAAAGTTTTTTTATTTTTCAAAGCACCTAAATATTATTATTAAAAAAAAATTATTAGAAACTTTTTGTTAATTGTTTTTTAAAAGGAATAGTTTTTGAAAATATGTATTCAATAACATTTGTAGTCATCTAAACTAGCTTATTTTTTAAAAAAAGTCAAAATTAATTTCTTTTACCTAAGGGGATTTTGAAAAATGGCTGCAATATGGACGATACAACGAATATGTTGAAATGAGATAATTTGATGCAAAATTTAAAAGCTCTTAACAAAAGCCACAAAAATTAAAAGTAATTGCAGTTCAGTGCACTTAAAAATTTTAAGCATAGTATATTGCTTAAAATTTTAAGCATAGTATAGTGTTTGCAAAGAAACATATAAATTGTTTTTTAATATAAAATTTTTTTTTTAAACTTTGTTGTATAGGCAGGTTTGGCGCGTAACCATCCCTATATAAACAATATATATAAACAAATATATTATTTGTTTATGTGTATTGTTTATAAAATGTAAAAAATCCACTTATATAATGTATTATTCAGGATCACATTTAATTTAAGTAAACTTTTCTAATAATAACAAGTTTTTTTTTGCTCAAGCTGTTTTGTTTTGATTTTTTGTATGTATGTTATTATATTTAAAAAAGTTGACAAGATTGAAAAACACAAAACATATTGTCTCATCCAAGTGGAAAATTTAAAACTTCAATTTTAGATTTGTCTCTCTCTTGATATTTTCTGATTGCTAAAATAATGTCATTTGCTTCTTAGATCGTTAAAAATGTTATATGAGGCTTTTTCGTAAATCATTAAGCCACAATTTTTTTGCGTGTGTGATGTCACTTTGTGGCAAAAAACTAGAAAAACAAACTACAAATAAGATTTTTATTTAATTTTTTTAAAAAAACTCCAATTTTAGATATATGGAATATATTTTAATGGGAAATATTTTAATATGGACCAAAACTATTTATTTATAACTATTGTAATAAATACAATCTCTTATCCGTGAAATGATCAGTGGCATGCTGGCCCCATAGGCTATGTGGGATTCCCGCTTGGGCATATCGCTACCTATCCTACAAGGGCCTTCTTTAAAATTATATTCAAGCATAATTGGAGAAATCTCATTTATATAGGCCTTTTTGGAAAAATCCTGCCTGTGGCCTTTTGGAGCCAGCACATCCCTGGAAATTATATATCTGTACCAGTTTTATATATTTTTATGCAATTGTATGTAACATAATTAAAATTAATCAAAAAATGTAAAATAAATCCAAAAGGAAACTTGACGCATAAAGGTTATTTTGCCACAAACTAATGTTAATGCGCAAAATTTTTTTGGTTTAACTTTTAGATTAGCATTTAATATTATTCTTTAGTTTTTAATCATAATCAAAATAATGATTTTTTTTAATGAATATGTTTTAGTGGTCTAAGATTTTCTTAGTTCTATTTGTATAGCATTACATACAAATGTCTGTAAGTGTAAGTCTTAAGCATATGTTGAGTTTGCAAGCAATATATAGTGATAATCACGTATAATATATCTATAAAATGAAAAAACTTTAAAATTTTATTTTAAATTTTAGAAATCTTTTTTGCTATATTATTATTTTTTTGCTATAAATATATAAGCAAGATTAAAAAAATTTCAAACTTTATTACGCTGAGGGGAGGTCTTAAACCCCCCAAAACAAAAGTAATGACAGTGCAATTAATCTTTGCTATCTATGAAATGCATTTAGCAGAAAAACAAACCTAATTATAAGCCTCTTATAACCTCTACGTATGCCAAAAGGTGCACATGTTGAGTTTTTTGCTCTTGAATGTTTTTTTCAGAATAATTGTTTTACTAAAAAATGTTTAAGTAAATAAGGAATAGGTGTATAAATAATCGGTGCAGAATAGATATGTATAGAAATAGTAGGTTTGTTAGAGACCCCTATTATACAGATCCGAAAAGCTAGGATATATAAGGAAAAAGTATAGAAAAGTTTGGTTTGGAATAGACTTATTGAGATCGAACCTGTATTTTTATGGGTCTGATCTCAGCTAGTTTATATCAAGTGTGGTATAAAATAGTGACTGCTTCTTGTACCTGGGATTGCAGGCATACTTTCATATTGTATCTGGAGATTAAAATAAGTTTCATTGTTTTTGTTATTATCAGATGAAAGATAAATTACATCAACACCTATACTGTTTTCTGCTTATGTAAACAGTGTTGTGTTAGAATCTGATTTTTAATTACTGCTTGTAGACTAGTTTTAACTGCTTTCTTTTTACAGTTTCTTTCATTTATTTAGACATTTGTCAAGAAATGTAGGCATAAAGAGATGTAAAAATACTGTAAGCTCATATCATAATATAAGCTCAAACATAACTTTGGAATGGGTTGGTTCATCAAGCTGAAATTTTGAAGTTGCGTTTTTTACAAAAACCTGTGATTCAATTTAGTTCAAAATTTGAAAATAAAAATCTCTGGTGGTACCCAGTGGCACCTTCATTTCTGAAACCAAATTGATTTCATATGGAACGATCCTTTGTAGATATAAATTAATATTTTGAATGTACTAATATTGTATTGAACAACTACAATGTAATAATTTTGTGTTAAACAATTATAAAAATTTTGATGAAAGCAAGCTATTCTTATTATGGTGAGAATAGGGGAAAAATTTATGAGATCGAACCAGGAAAAAAAATTTTATAACAAATAAATAGGCAACTTAATGCTTTTCTCAGTGTTTTTTAAATGTTTTGATTGAGAATAAGATTTTTTAAGTTTTATTTATTTTAGGTAAAAATAATGGATCAGTTGCTCAGTGACGCTAAACACCTTGTTCAACGGTTGAATGCGCAAGAAAATATTTTTGATTCTGTTATTAGTGAGACAATCACTTTGCAAAGACGTCTTTCGATGATGAAGCAATATCATGATGAAGTAAGTCGAATGAATGACCTTGCAAATCATAGACCGCGATGTACACTAATTCTTGGAAGTTTAGTTGAAAATCAAAAAATTCAAAATCTTGAGCAAGAAAACAAAGAATTAAGCTTATCGTTGGCTGAGCACCAATCTGCATTAGAACTCATTATGAACAAATATAGAGAACAAGTTCTTATCATGATGAAACTAAACAGTAGCCAAAAGGTTTGCCATAATAATGTATGTTTAGAAACAGAAGTTAAAATGAGAGAAAAGATTTCCGAAATGGCTAATGTTATGCGTCAGTCAGCATTAATAGATGATAGCTTAGCAAGTAAAGAGATTGAGGTTATAAGATGCTTACAAGTTGAAAATGAAAATCTTCGCGAGCTGCTTCAAATAAGTGGTAAAAGCTATCAAACATATTTTCCTTCTTCTTCATCAAATGAATTGTTTAATAGTACCAATTCTAGTAGTTTATCTTTAAACAAAAGCAACTTATTCGACCACGATATTTTGAGTGATACTTCCTTTTTAAAAAATAAAGATAGTGGAATTTTTGAAAATGAAATAGTAGATTCTAATTCAAATAAAGATGTTGTTCTTCCGAAAAAATCAAATAACTTTTATGATTTTCACAATAGTCTTGAACAATTAAATATTAACCATGATAGTAATTTTAATATGGAACTTCGGTCACATCTGGATGAAGAGCCAACTATGAACTGTTTTCGTGCAATTATAACAAACATTCAACCTTTAGATGTCTCCAAAGATGAGTCTTCTAATAATTCAGAAGTCTCTATGATGAATTCAAATAATTTATCAGACGATGTTTTTTCAGAAAACCATGATAGTTACAATTTTCTACCAAAAAGAAAAAAGCATTTAATAAAACAATCTTTTAAAGAAACATTGCAAAATTCAGATAACCCGCTAGCTTATCTCTTTACTCAAACAGAAAAAAAAAATGAACTTGTTAAAAAGGATTGTGTACAATTAAATGATATACATTATGAATCCGATGCTGATTCAGAATTAACTTTTGTTGGTGATGATATTGATGCGGCATTATCTGAACTTGATTCCATTGTTGACAATTCAATTTTTCTAGAAGATGAAGATAATTTCTGAAATCCAAAAGGATTTGAAATTAATAGTGGCAATATAAATGATTGTTTAGAATGCTCCAATTTTTTTAAATTTTTTTTAAAAAAGTTTGTTTTTAAAGATGACATTAACAGTGTTGTAATAATGGTAACTTTTGACTTTTAAAAATTTTGGATTTTCAAAATATCATTATAATAAAAAATATAATTGTTATTTATCAGAATATATATATTTTTATGAATTTACTTAGTAATTTTATATATATACACTTTATTTGTAGCGTTTACACACATTACTGCAGTATGATAAAAATTAAGCAAAGTTTTTATAAATCTCTTGATGTTTTTCAAATCCAATATATTGCTCTTTCTTGTTTTATTATCATAAATGTTTAGTTTTTGTTTTCCAAATTAAAAATTTATTTATGCAATATATAAAATATATATATAAATTAGTCGCTTGTACATGAAAAATTTCACTTTTTTATTTTTGAATCATAAATAACTGCACTGCATTTTAGATTTATTAACATTAAAATATTAAATGGTTTGTAAAAGTATGGATAAATTTTGTTTATTTTATTTTTAGATGCTAAAACAGGGATAGACCAATATAAATCCATAGTAGTAATATTTGTAATAGTTGTTGTAATAGTTTTTTTTACTATTTACTAGTTAATGTTCTTTTCTTTCAGATCACTCTTTTTGTGAATATAATAATTTAATATATATATATATATATATATATATATATATATATATATATATATATATATATATATATATATATATATATATATATATATATATATATGTATATATGTATATAAATATACATATATATATGTATATATATATATGTATATATATATATATATACATATATATATGTATACATATGTATATATATATATAATATATATATATATGTATATATATATATATAATATATATATATATATATAATGTATATATATATATATATATAATATATATATATATATATATACATATATATATATATATATATATACATATATATATATATATATATATATATATATATATATATATATATATATATATATATATATATATATATATATATATATATATATATATATATAGTTTTTCTGGTTCCTTTTGATATCTGTATTAAATACATATATATTTTTTTATGGGTACTCCTATGGTCGGTCCCAGCAGTCCAAAATTTTAAAAATTTCTACTTTTTGTAAATAATGAGGGGGCTGGGTCACTTACAAATATATCAAAGATATCTTTAAGGTTATTTTTGTAGCCTGATAAATCTAATTTAGGATTATATTTTGTTTTATTGCAAAAAATGAAATGAAATGGTCAGCCCTACCCATTTAAAGACATGCTGTGTATATTTGGGAGTTAGGTGGGGAGGGGTTCAGTTAAAAAAAATTTGTAATTTTAAAATTTTTTATTTAAGTGTAAATAAAAACAATGTCAACAAGCAATGGTTATGTTAAAAAATCTCATCGTAAAGTTTTTCTTGTTGGAAAAAGAATCGGAACAATACCTATCACACAATTGCCAACTAAAAGAACTGTATTGCAATATTACCATTACAGAGATCTTATGTTAAGAGCTGATTTTTCAAACATTTCATCAGTTAGTATAGCTTCATGTCCACTTGGTGATTTCTTTACTGCACAATGTGCTGAAATAGGTGGTTGTCTCCAAAAATGTTTACCATGCGTCCTTTACGAGGTGAATTTGGCAAAAAGCAAAATTTGGCAAAAAGCAGGAATTCCTTTTGTTAACACTGACAAGCATATCAGGTTTTTATTATATTAAAATGCTTTTTAATTTTTAGTTTTATCCAGTTTAAAATTGATATTATACAAGTAACAATAATAAAGTCATAACATTTTATGTATTTATAATAAATTACAACAGTTTTAATGCATACTTTTACTTTTGTTTTAGAGACAAGATTGTTGACTTAGAAAAGAAGAGAAAAGATTTAAAGAAATACAGAAACCGTTTAATTAAAAATTTAGTTTTAAAAAGAGAAACTTTGTCAAGAATGCTAGAGGAAGTATTCGATGTAAGTCAAAACAATTGTGAACATACTATTATGAAAGATAAAACTAAAGATTTAAAAACTAGAAGAGAGGATGTAGATTTTCTTAACGACCAGAAAGGAGCACGTGTTCAGAAAATTTAAATACTTTAGATAATGACCAAGATGAACAGTATCTACAGCCTTCTATAAAAATTAAAAAATCTAATGCTGTTCCTCTTATAGTTCCTAAAAATATAGGAAAACAGAATCACGATATGGAATAAGTTCGACTGCACTGAGTGCAACTCTTGCTTCTCTTATGAATAACAGTTCTGGAACAACAGATGATTTTTCTATTTCTAAATGAAGTATTTTGAGGCAGAAAAAATAAAGTATAAGTACAACTGCCTGTAAAATTAAAGACAACTTTATTATATTGGCTAAGTGTAAAAGTCTTACCTTGCATTTTGACTCTAAAATTATGGTAGAACTGAGAGAAATTAGTAAAGAAAAAGTTGAAAGATTAGCTGTGCTAATCAGTTCACCAGATCTTTCAGAATCCCAACTTTTGGGTATTTTAATTGTGAAAGATTGCACTGCTAAGTCTCTTGGGACAGCAATCAAAAAAAACTTTACAAGACTGGGAGCTATTTGACTATTTAGATTGTCTGTCCTTCGACACCACAGTCACAAATACTGGTTGGATAAAAGGAGTCTGTACTCTTATTGAGCAGTGGAGAGGAAAAGTTTTGATTTGGATGGCTTGTCGTCATCATGTCTACGAATTACATATAAAGGTAAATTTTGAAAAAAAGTCATAAAATATTTTTATATTTATTTATTTATTTAATATTTCTCGATGAATTTAATAACGATTCACCTTATTATTAAAATTTAGTTAAGTGATTTGAAATAAATATATTTTAGCACTTTTCAAGTGTTCTTACTGGAGGTAAAACAAGTGGACCAAAGACTGAGTTATTTGAAAGGCTAAAGTGTAATTGAAAATCGATTCTTGAAAAGAAGATAAATTATGATAACCTAAAGAGATTTGACTCAGAAAAAAAAATTAAATCTTTTTTGGAAAAGCAGGTTGGTGTGATTGTCCTAATTAGATTAATCTGTTTGATTATAAGTTTTAATAATAAACTTTCTTTATTTTTTATTTTAGGCTTCTGAATCATTAACATTCCTTCAAAATTGCCTCGATAATGATATATTTCCAAGAAATGACTACAAGTATTTTATACAGTTAGCAGTTCTTTGGTTAGTTGGCAAAGTAAAAGATTTTCACTTTAGATTTCCAATGGTTTCACATCATGCCAGGTTTATGGCACAGGGCGTTTATTATTTAATATACGACATTCTACAGCCACAATTCAGTAACTTATGTCCTGATATAATATCATTACAAGAGGGAAAGCTGATTCATGAAATTGGTTCATTTACAGCAATATTTTATGTTCCATGGTTTATTAAAGTTCCTATCTCTGCCATAGCACCTTCTTTAGATCTAAAAGCCATTAATGAAATGATACAATATTCTTAAACCAGCAGAGGCCGTACTAAAGTCACTTGAAAAACACAATTGGTATTTAAATGAAAGATTTGTGGTTATGTGTCTTGCTGATAAATGCTTACCTGTAGATCAGCTACATAAATTAGCTCTTAAATTAGCTCAAACAGCAAAGCCTACCAGTTATAAAATGGGAAAACTATGTTCAGAAATTTTTACTGACAATGAAAAAAAAAAATAACAAAAAGAATTGAAGATTTTATTGGTCCTTAAAGCTGGTTTTTCTTTGATTTACTTAAAATGACATTACATGAGACAGAATGACTGAAAATCAGTTCATCAAACTGGGAAACATGTTCAGGTTATATAAGATTTAAAAATTATATCACTGGTCTTCTTGTTGTAAATGACAGTGCAGAACGTGCAATTAAATTTGGTCAAGACTTTATTGAAACTTTCCGAAACGAAGAAGATAACCTAGCTAATTTACTGGTTGTTGCATCGTCTAAAATTTCAGACAAAAGAAAAAAAATCTTGGTTGAAAGCTTTAAAATAACTTTTCTTTAAAAAATAAATACAAATGTAAAAAAAAAATTATTTAAATTGTAAGAAAAAAATTTTACTCCCCCCCCCCCCCCACCTCCTATATATACATGTCATACACAAATTAAACCTTTCATGGTAAAAAAAAGTCTCTTTTAACAGTTTTGCTACCTTGACAATTAAGCTACATTTTATTGTTGTAGAAAGTTAAAACAATTAAACTAATGCAGAAGTACATCGTTTATTAAAAAATTGCAATAATAATGACTAGAAAGCTTTTTTTGTGTTTTTGTTTTATTAAAATATATATGTAAAACATACGTGGCGTGTATCTACTTGTATCTACTTTTTTATAGCCTGCTACTACAAGGGAGTGTTGCTGCATCGACTTTCTTACAGCCTGACTTTTAAAAGGAGTGCTGCAACATCAACTATTTTATAGCCTGACTCGCAATGGAGTGCTGCTACATTGACTGAGAGTTTGGTTAGGGCAGGCAGTCTATCATTTAAGAAAAAAATAAAATTAAGTTTTAAAAATTTTTCTGGTCTGGTTTATTAGTGCTCTCTTTATAACTACAACTATATTATATATATATATATATATATTTATATATATATATATATATATATATATATATATATATATATATATATATATATATATATATTTATATATATATATGTATATATATATATATATATATATATGTATATATGTATATATGTATATATATATATATATATATATATATATATATATATATATATATATATATATTTGTATAGATTTCGATATATAGAATATATTCAAGGTTAAGTATTTTGATGTAATAATACAAAGTCTCTTGTACGTGTTACAGTGCTCAATATTACTGAATAATAGAGCTATATATAATTATATTTAGATGAATAAAAACAACTGATTAGCGGGACTTAAAGTTTCATGCCCGAAGGCAATCATCAGCCGTTAATACCGTTAATAGCCATTAATAAGTATTAACGGCTGATGATTGCTTTCGGGCATGAAACTTTAAGTCCCGCTAATCAGTTGTTTTTATTCATCTAAATATAATTATATATATATATATATATATATATATATATATATATATATATATATATATATATATATATATATATATATACATACATATATATATATATATATATATATATATATATATATATATATATATATATATATATATATATATATATATATATATATATATATATATATATATATATATATATATATATATATATATATATATATATATATATATATATATATATATATATATATATATATATATATATATATATATATATATAGTTTTTATAACTATTATCATCTTATTAACATATTTTTGCTTTAGTTTAGTATTATTTATCTTAAAATTAATAAAGATTTTTGATTCACTTTTATATTATTAAATATTTTTTTACTATTGTTTTTTTTGTTTTTAGGTTTATTGTTATAAATATAAACTATATTATAGCTACTTTTGCTTTGTATTTTCTTTTGTTGTAATTCTTACTATAATTACTATGCATAACATTAATTTATTATTTCTCTTGTTATTAGTATTATTACATTATTGTAATCCTATATTGCATTATATTATTTTTAACAGTATAAATGTACCACTCAAATTGTTGAAAATCATCTAATTTTATTTATGTAAATTTATAATTTGTTTTTTTAGCTATTAAAATTATAAAATTTTGTAATAAGGTAAAATATTAAGTTGTATGTATGTAAAGAACATTTGAGGAGCACATATGCAAAGTGCGCTAAGTCTGAGTAAACTGATTTTGAGAAAACAACAAAAAACTAAACTACTCTTAGTTGCGCTTCAATTGAAATTGATAATTTCTTTGTCGATTTTTAGGACCAACATTTTTTAATTGGTCTAATATTTAAATAGATGATAGATTTCAGTATACAGAATGTGGAAATAGATTTACTCAAAATTTTTATTTTTGTGACTTTGGTGCGCATTTTGCAGATGGGCTCTTTATTTATCTAATTTTTTTTTTTGATGTTTGCTATAAATTTATTTTTATTTTTTTATACATGTTCTAATATATTAAAGTAATTTTAATTTTAACTTAATAATAAAAATTTTTCTAATTGTTTGCTTGAATTTTAGTTAATATGGAAAAAGAATTTGAATTAGAGTTATTTGATAATGATATAGAAATGGAGGAGGATGAACTTCAACAAGAATTAAAGTTACTGGAAATGGAGAGCAAGCGTGATTTAAATAAAAATAAAAAATGTGACAATTTGGATATAGTAAAAAAAAAAGACGAATTAATTGAAAAAAATTTAAATGAAGAAAATCTAACAAAAAATTTAAGTTCAGCCTCTATTGTTAGGTCCTCTTCTAAACAGAATCAAACTATTAATCAGAAAGTAAACTTTAAAAAACTTTTCAAACCGCTTCAATTAGATAAAAGTTCACTTTATTCTATAGCTGGTCGTGAGTTAGCATATAGACTCGAAGAGAATAAAGCTGGTTTGCTAGGTCATGTGTTTAGAGTTTTAGGATTAACATTAACTATGGAAATATTTGAGGAAACTAAAAAAATTATGAAAAATGGTGGCCTTAAAACTGATTCTGGAGATAGACGTCGCTCACCTGGTGGAACTTTTTTATATTTGATGAAAAGTCGTGGTTATGCTACTAAATCGCAATTAAAAGAAATTTTCAAAGAAGAAGAAGCACTTAAAAAAAAGTTGCTCAAGCAAAAGTATAAACAAGCTAGCATCGTTAGGAAAAATAAAGAAAAAATGAACGAAAATGTGATTTAAAAAAACATTTTGCAACAATTTTTTCATCAAAGTTAGCATTTTGTGGTTATTCAAAAAAGCGTTTTTTATATTAAACACAAACTAAAATTTAAATAAATTTCTAAAGTTATATAAAAGATTTATATATTTTTTTATTAAAAAAAATATATATTTTATTATTAACTTATTTATCTAATCTAACCTAGTTGTCTGATTTTTATATAAAAATATTTTTGTTATTATTATATATATATTTTTTAATATTTAAATATTAAAAGTTTATTGGCATATTTTACCAAAAAAAAAATAAAATATGATGTTTTAATGGAGGAAGCCAGAAAGAAGAAAAAGCGGAGATGGATAAGAAAGAGAGTTATCAACAATACTGGTTGAAAAACAAGTAATTGTATTTGTCTTCATTATGTATGCTTTTATTAACTTTATCATTAATTTAAGTTTAATAACTATTTATATATATATATATATATATATATATATATATATATATATATATATATATATATATATAAGGTGTTAGCCAGGAATATATTTTTTAGCGCATTTATGTGAATATTGAGAATATTTATTGTGATTGGTCTACAAATTGTAAGGAATTTTTGTTGATACTGTCCTATTACTTCAAAAAAAAAAAAAAAAGTCATTGAATTTTAAGAAATTTTATCAATCCATTGGGAATTCCGTGATATACGCGGTGCCATTGGCCTTGCTAGCACTCTGATTTATATATATATATATATATATATATATATATATATATATATATATATATATATATATATATATATATATATATATATATATATATATATATATATATATATATATATATATATACAACTCTCAGAATTGGGGTCGGCTTTTGGCAATGCCAAACTAATTGCTGACCTGAAAGTGTTTGAGGTTCGCAGTTTATTGTTTTATGGTCAGACCTTTGTATGCCAACCTCATTTTTCCTAATTACGAGAGTTTTAAAGTGAAAGTAAAACTGTAAAACTTGCAATAATAAAAATAGCAATATTATTTTATAACAGTATAGCAAAACTATGGAGATCTTAGAGCCTTATATACTATAGACTATATATCATTAAGGAATCACCCAAAAATTATGCAATGCTAAATTTATTTTTAAAAAAGTAGAAGTTCTTCAGTTCTTTAGGATTTTCATTAAACTTAATGAACTATATAGATTTTTTATTTATACGACTCTGCAAGGTAAAATTTTGATTATTTTTGCTTTCTTCAATTGTGCAATTTAGCGTTGCATAATTTATGGATGATCCCTTATTTTAAAGTTTAGATAAAAGATCAGCCAAAAAGTATATAAAACCAAAAAATAATGGAGATAATGCTATTTTGATGGTTATCTAATTTCTGTCGTTGTTGCGCACTCGATTTTGAATTAGCAATCAGGGCGTGGTAAAATAGCTGTATAACTCTAAATTTCTTTTATTGTATTAATATTAAATAACTTTAACTTTATATTATTTTTAAAAGTAAATAGTTTAATAAAATAGTTTAGTTTAAATATAAAATTAGAATTTTTTAATTATGTCTTTATAAAAAGCATATTTTTTAAACCCCCGCGCTGTTTTAAAAAAGTTAAGGTTGCCACAAGGCAAATTCAAATTATTGGCTTGCTTTATTTTTTAATTTTTGTTATTTAAAGTGCAAAACAAAACAACTTTACAGTTCTATAGATTTTATATTCTATATATAAAGAAATTGCATACTAATTCTTCTTGCACAAACTCAACTTAGTTGTAAAATAACTTGAATATAAAAGTAAAATAACATAAGTATCTCAATCATGACATATATGCAACAAATATTCCCCTGTTTTTTAATGTTTTTAGAATTTTTAGCTTTTTTAAAATCTTTTTGTTTTGTTAAAGTGTGTAACAGTTAGATGTTAGATATGTTTGTATATAATCTTTATAAAACTTTACATGAATTTAAAAATTTTTAAAAATTAAAACGAAAAGTCGCCGGTGGTTGGATTCGAATCACAGTTTTCTTCCTTAGGAGCTCAGCACAATAACCACTCGGCATGTTGGTCGTTGAAATTTTAAAACTATATAAAATTTGTTTTTAATGAAAATAAATGCTAAAGATCAGAAATTAAGAGGTTGACGCAATGCAGTTTTTAAGCGTAAGTCAAACTGTAAAACTTGATGTATGTTTGCGTGTGTTTTAACATTACATAACATGAAGTTTACATACATATGATATAAGTTTCACATTTACTTGGGACTCTACTATTAAAACTATTAATAAGTTCGGCAATAATATATAGAGATTCTAAATAAAATAATTAAAAAAAAAATGATTATATTAAGTATATTTAATAGTCAAGTAACTTAACTGTAGTAACTTAAGTGATTGTTTTGGTTTGGTTTATAGATAATTTACTGCAATATATTTTTTTAATTTAGTAAATCAAGTTAAATTTAACTTTAAAATAGAAGTAATAAAAAAAGATATTGTTGGTTTCTACAAAGAGATATAAAGTAATTAAAATTCAAATGTGTATTTTGTTTAATGAAAATCTCTGCATAAGAGCGCAAATGATCATACTTCTATTTATAAGTTAAATTTAGCATGTTGCAGTTATGGATGATCTCTAATAAAAACCTCAGTAGAAAACATTCTATTTTTTTTACAAAGGCCAAAAAAAAAGATAAATTAAAAAAATAATAATAATAAAAAATTAAGTTAAATCACGTAAATATTTTGTGAAAAAGAATTTATCTCTAAGAAAGAAATTAAGAATAAAAGAATTTATCTTTAAGAATTATAAGGTGCAAAAAGCAATTGTGCTATTCGAGCCCTGCAATTTATCAAAAAAAGTTTAAATGTAACAGTTGCATTTTTAATCATGTTTTTTCTCAATTCAAAATGAGTTTCAAAATTACATTTTCTTTTGATTCAAAATGCTAATGTAATATAAATGTATTAGTTGCATTTTGAATCATGTGTATGGACAAGTGAGTCATTAATGTTTGACCATTTGTTTTTCATTTTTCAAAACAAATTATTGAATGAGATATTAACAAAAGCATTTGTTGTTTTGCCATTATACTTCCGGTTCAGAGCCTAATTTTAGGCTCTCAAATCTGCATAGTTTTTTCTGTTAAAAAAACGTCTGGTTTCAATAATAAACTTTTTCATTCACCGCAGAGTTTGTTAAACTCAGTTCAGATTCACAATCAGATTGGGTTTTTCCCTTCATATTTAGTCTGTGGTGGTTATAAAAAACCTTCGCTGTAGCATGTTTTTGTTTTTTTTCAATGTATCGTTAAGTGTTTGAGTTAAATAAACTAGCATAATAAAAATAGCAATTAAGCAAACTTTAAAATACACAAGATAAGTATTTTTTTGTAAAATAAGTAATCAATTTTTTTATATACATCATTAAGTACAATATAATCCAACATGGTTAAATTTTATTGGATTTAAAAATCTTTTTTTTTTTTAATAAATTGAGGAAATGTTTTAAAAATGATCTTATATAATTTTTAACTAATGTTTGTAATAATTTATATTTCTAATTCAAGAAAGCGTTTTTTAAATGATCTAATATATATTTTTTAGATATATATAAAATTGATAAACTTGAATCTTATATTTTTGTTTAACCGCCAAAGAGGGAAACCCCTGCAATTTAAACTTTAAGTTTTTCAAATGAATCAATTTTTGTATATAAAGTTCCAATATCTCTTTGTAACTAAATATAATAAAAATGATTTGATAACATAAGATTTTAATATTTTGTAACACATTTTAACATTTGATTATACATTTTATATAATTTTTATATAAAATGTATAATCATTTCTAACATTTTATATAATTTTTTTTATTTATTTATATAAATGTTTATTTTTTCTAACAAAATAAATAGCAATGTCAATTCTTTTTTTAAAATCATTTTTTATTATTTAGTAAATGAAGTTTTTTTTATTACAAAGAAACGTTTACTCTTTTTAATAAACGTTTCTTTGTAGTAAAAAAAATAAAATATTAAGGTTTAATTACTTTTTTCAAAAGACTCAGCATTTTAGTGATTTTCTGAAGGGACTACAAAGCAACTTTGACATACAGTATCTTCATAATGGCTTGGGAAAATTTCCTAAAATTTGGTACTCTAATAGATTTTAACTTGATTTTTGGAGGTAAAATAAAGACTGTGGCCCAAAATTTAGAGTAAAAATTTCAATTGTATATCATTATTTCATCTTAGGTCTACTGAAAAAAATTAGATTCATCAATTGTCTCTCTAATACATGATCAAAATTTGCATTTAAAAATGGTGTCTTTTTAGAAAAATTTAAAATTTGTAATAAAAGCAATTAAATTATTTTTTTAAACATTTATTTGAATAAAACACCAAATAGTGTTATTTATTGACTAGTTTAAATTTAAATAAACATTTAAAGTCATGGGCCAAGGGAGATGCCCCCTCTACCCATGAGAGGCCCCTCTGCCCCCTCCCCAAATCTCCCTAGATTTTTTTTTTTTTTTACATTAAATGAATAAATAATAGTTGATTGTTAAAATACATTTTAAAAACATATTTTTTCAGTTTAAGTTTGAGAAACGATTTATTTGCGTTACTTCAAATCGATAAATACTTACCTCTTATTTCAAAGATCTTTTTACGATTTTAAGTCATAAATTTCAAAAACAAATGTTTTAAAATGTTTTTAAAATATATTGACAATAAATATCTTTATGTAGTTTTAGACTAATATAGTCATTGACATAATAAGATGGGAGTGATTTGTGATTTATTTAAACCCCCACCCCTCCTTCTCAGCCTACAATCCAAGGATTTAAAAAAAAAAAAAAGACATTTAAAATGCAAATTAGGTAAATAAAATAAAAACAAAATTATTTTAAGCATAATTAATTTTTTTTTCAACCAACAGTTTATATTCTCCAAATCTAAATCAGTTATGTTGTATGTACGACCTGATATTGTTGTGGGTGTAGAAATTAGGCATATAACTTCAGAATTGAGTACCCAACACTCATCAGTTCTTATTGGCCAAAAGAAGTTTTTACCTGGTCCATGTGGATGCATGAATCTGACTTTTATATCAAGCTCACTTACATTTTCAGCAATCCCTACCCACCAAAATCCATCATAAAAACATGCAATATAATCCATTTTTTTAATATTTAATGAAATATCTACATAATGTTTGCTTTTTGGAATGATATCAAATATTTCAGTGCATGCATCAATACTTATTTTTTTATAACTTATAGTGTTTGGAGCAATTGGAATAAAATGATGATACATCCTTGTGCCAGGAACTGTTCTTCCACTTAAATATCTTTTTTCTAATTGTGCTCGTGTTTAATCAATTTCTTCTTTTGAAAATAACTTAAAATAAATTCCATTTATCTTGGATTTACAAAAGGAGTACATTAAATTAACATCTAAAATCTGCCCAGTAGTTATTTGTTTTAGACTTTCTTGACATGCTACTCTTTTAACAGTCCCACCAATACCATCACAGGGGGATTTACCATGACTGGTAGCAAAAAATACCCATTCAGCATTTAAATCAAAGTCTTTACTGTGATGACAAAGATTGATAAAATTTTTAAAAATTTTAAATTGTGCTGCGCAACCATTAGAAAAGTATTTCACACTTGATACATCAGGTAGATTTTCTTTGATATATCTAGTTATATCTTCCTGAGTCTTGTAAATAAATCCTGTGTCATGATCAACATTTTCTGAAAAGTAACAAAAAGATTTATGTTTGAGAAGTTTGTTCTCTATAAAATAAAGTACAACTGTATAAAGTGAGCATTGACTTTTGCTCCAGTAATAACTTTGAACCTCATCCTGAACAACATATTGATAGTTTTCAGCAAAATCTTCTAAAATTAAGCATTCGTTTTGGTTAAGATTTTCTTTACAGTTTTTTAAGTATATACGTTGTGTTTTTGCAATATATGAATGAGTGGTAAAGTTGTCAATACTGTCACATAATAAATCAATAAATTCATCTAGTGGCAATGACTGTGAAAGTAGTGTTGTACGATCTGTACTCTGCCATTGCTTAAATACTACATATTCTTCATGCTCATGGTCCATAAACTCCTGCACTAAAAATTTTTTTAACGCTTCAATACCAGGACATTGGTTACATCGATGCAACATACATTCTGCATTTTCAAGAGAGCAAACAATCAATGCCATGAAATCTTTATAACTTTTATTCCACCTAATGGCATCAATGAGAAATTTTGTATTTTGGTGATGTATGCAAATACATACATTGTGGGTGCCTGACGCATTAGTTGTAATACACCATTTAGGTTTAAGAGTACAAAACTTTGACAAACTGACTTTGACGTCAGGGTAGTCTTTTTTAAATGCAACATGTAATTCATTAAGATTGATTAGCAATAATCTTTTTTGAACATGTTGGTTTTTCTTAATACTTACATAATCTTTTTTTCCTGGCATCATTCTTGAAAATTCATCACTTTGATAAAAGTTAATCACTAAATTAGCTGTTTCTGGTAAAAGTGGGTTTCCAGTTTTTTTCCCGGGTAATGATAGAATTCCATTCTCATTTTTAACTTTTCTTGCTGTTCAAACAAGATACTCAGACACTTCAAAGTAGCTTGATATCTTTTTACGTGTCCATGATTTTGGTGCGAGTGTTAACATTTGCACCTCATGGCGATAAGAGTCAGTCTCTGAAATTTTATTTTTTATTTCATACATTAAAATGTCTAGATCATGGTCATTGTTAATGTTGTTGTTTAAAATGGGGCTTTTTATTTCTGTTGTTAAAAAAGTTTCTTTAATATTATATGCTAATGAGACCATTTTTGCAACTCTGTCAATAGTGTTCTCAAACTTTTGTTTTGCTACAGGCAATTTGCTGTGTTTTGAAAGACTTTTTAGTTTGACCGGTGAGATTCCAAGCAATTCTATAGTGGTATCTAACTTAATTTTTTTCTCACTTTTTGATTCCCATTTCTCCTGTGAATTTAAATCTTCATCAGTTTCTATTGCTTTTTTGTAACATTTACTGCAGAATTTCCAACCTGGGGTTACATAAACAT